CCCTCTACAATATCTTTAATCGATTAAGAACTTTCTAAGTCTCTCATACCAAACCCTATGAGCTCCTTTTAAGCCATATAAATTTCTTTTTATTTTATAAACATGATTAGGATACTCATGATTTTCAAAATTGGGAGGTTGTGAAGCATACACTTCCTCGTTAATATATCCATTAAGGAAAGCACTTTTTAAGTCCATTTGATATAACTTGAAATCTTTGGAGCAAGCATAAGCTAGTAGAAGGCGTATAGCCTCGAGTCCAGCAATCGAAGCGTAAGTTTCCTCATAGTCAATGCCCTCTTCTTGGTTATAACTTCGAGCCATTAGTTAGGCTTTTTTCCAAGTTATCACTCTGTTTTCATCGAGTTTATTCCTAAAAACCACCTAGTGCCAATGACCAGATGATCTCGTGAACGAGGGACAAGGTCCCTTACATCATTCTGTTTAAACTGGTTTAATTCATTTTTCATGGCCATAAGCCAATGCTCATAAAGTAAGGCATATGTAGCATTTTTAGGTTCAACTTACGAAACGAATGCAAAGTGATAGAAAAAGTTACTTATCTTAGAGCGTGTTGTCACAACCTTGGTGATATCTCCAAGTATATTGTCGATTAGATGATCCTTGGAGGATCTCCAAGCTAAAGGAAGTCCGTCCACTGCAGATGATCTTTCATCCTTCTTCTTTTCACAATCGTTATCTTCTTCTTTCTCAAGTTCCACCGCTTTAGGTTGACCAATTATATCTTCGGGTTCTTTGAGAATGTCTTGTGAAGACACACCTTCATTGGCTTTCACGTAAAACTTTCCAAGATTAGCCTTTCCATTGTTTAAAATAAAGCATTTGCATCCAAAAACATGATGATGTGATAAATTAGGTTTTCTACCTTTTAGTAGTTCATAGGGAGTTTTGTATAAAATAAGACGTATTGGTATCCTATTTAAGACATAACATGTCGTGCTAATGGCATCGACCCATAAATACTTAGGTAGATCACCCTCGTTGAGCATAGTTCTAGCCAACTCCTCTAAAACACGATTTTTAAGCTCCACAAGACCGTTTTGTTGTGGAGTTCATGAAGCGGAAAAATTATGCTCAATGTCATGTTTGTCACAATCATTCTCAAAGAGGTGGTTTTCAAATTCACCTCTGTGATTGCTTTGGATAGCAACCGTATTTAAATTCATCTTGTTTTGGGATAACCTTGCAAATTGAGTGAAATCTGAAAATGTCTCATCTTTACTATGCAAAAACACGACCCAATAAAATCTCAAGTAATTGTCTACAATCACAAAACCGTATTATTTACCACCTATGTTTTTGGTCCTTGAGGGACCAAAGAGGTCCATGTGAATAAGTTCAAGAGATCTCGAAGTTGAAACAATGTTTTTCGATTTAAATGACACTCTTATTTGCTTACCTATTTGACATGCATCACATAAATGGTCTTTTGAAAAATTTATTTTTGGTAGACCGATTACTAAATCTTTTGAAGTCACTTTGTTTAGTAAATCAAAGTTGAAGTGAGATAGGTGTTTATTCCATAACCAAGAGTCTTTACTCATGGTGACAAGACACTTAGTCCCGATAAAGGATACCTCATCTAAATTAAGAATATAAGTGTTGTTAATCCTCAGACCCTTAAACATACAATCCTTCTTTTCATTGTGTTCAAATATGCAACAAGTTTTTGTAAAAGTTACTTTAAATCCATTGTCACATAGTTGACTAATGATAAGAATATTGTGTTTAAGACCTTTAACTAACATAACGTTGGAGATAGTAGTATATAAGAGATTACCTACATTACCTTTTCCAAGTATTTATCCCTTGTTATGATCTCCACCATTAACAAAACCCTTCTTTTTTGGCACAAAGTCAATGAATAGAGAGATGCCACCCGTCATATATCTTGAGCACCCACTATCAAGAAACCGCATCTTCTCCATAGAGCCAAGACATTCAAAATTCTTCTTCTAACTTTTGTTGGCCATGAAGAAAAGTTTAGTCGATTTAACACTTGAACTTGAGCTTTCATCACTTGAAGAATCATTTTCACTTTCTCAAGTATCATAAGCTCTTATAAACTTGCTAGATTTCTTGTGATGACTTTTCTTTTTTCCTTTCTTGATCAATGGACACTCTAGCCTATAATGGCCTTCTTTTTCACATTCATAACATGAACCTCTATGTTTACCTTTCTTATACTCGTATTCCTTTGATAATTCCGAAAGCCTTCTAGATTTCATTAGGTTCTTGTAGGAGTGTTTGACTTAATTTTTTCTTATGTACCCATTGTACCTTTTGACGAACAATCCCATTACTTCATCATTGGAACTCTCGTCACCACTTGATTCACAATCACTTTTTTCATTGATTGAAGACTTTGAACTTGAAGTATTTAGATAAATAGACTTATTCTCTTCCTTATTGTCTTTACCTTTCTCCTTCTTCATCTTCTTCTCAAGATTCTTCTCATGTTTTTTTCAAGCAAGTGAGTTCTTGCTCATGTTCTTCTAGCTTGCCAAAAAAGTTTATGAGATCAAGTATTTAAAGATCATTCGCTTCTTTGATCGCAGTGACTTTGAATTTCCATTCCCTATTAAGACACATCAAAACTTTATTATTAATTATATTATTGGAGATAAAATTACCTAGAGCCTTTAAGCGATTTATAAGATGTATGAACCTCTTTTGCATTTTGGCAATGATTTCACCATGCTTTATGAGAAATAGTTCAAACTCTTGATTTAGCGTATTAATCCTAGCTTTTTTTTACCTCATTAGTTTCCTCACGAGAAAATTCTAATTCATCCCATATAGATTTGGCGGTCTCATAATGAGAGACACGATAATATTCATCAACCCCAAGTGCGAGTGTGAGATATTTTGTGTCTTCTAATCATGTGAGCATAATTTCTTATCATTATCATCCCATTGTGCTTCCGGTTTTAGTACGGTGACACCTTCACCATGGGTCATTGTAATTTCATTAGGACCATTGATGATGGCTTCTCATACACCTTTATCAACCGAGTTGATATGGATACACATACAAGCTTTCCAATAGCCATAGTTTTCACTGGTAAAAACTGGCACTCTATTGTACGCCTTTTTAGGTTTTGTAGTCATTTTCTAATAAGCGAATATTGAAGCACGAAAGTAACCAGAGCTCGTGACACCACTTGTTAGACGAATGTGACTTATCTAGAAAGGGGTGAATAGATCCCCAATAATTTTATTTTTACAAAAAAACAATTTTCAAAAACAATGGCTAGCGGAAGTAACTTTTGATCGATTCATCTAAACCTAACTGCTATCGAAAAGCTCGAATATGCATATATGAAAAACCAATTGAAGATGATGATAATATATTCAATCAATATGTATAAATCACAATCTCTTGAAAGCACTCAACAACCAATGTTATATCCAATGATAAATCACATAAAAATACTATTGAGACAAATTATCGAACACCTTGTGTGCAATCAATATTGTTTGAAAAATTGTATAGTTTTGTTGATCTTAAAATCTAACTAAAATCAAAATGATTGTGATTAATTCAACAATATGTTTTTCAAATGATTTTCAAAAGAAATTTACCAAACAAATTAATCGCACAAATGAATAACTCAATAATTTGCAAACAAAATGTGTGTGTGAGAGAGAGAGAGTACACAAGGATTTGTTTATGTAGTTTTCCAATCGGGCTCGCTACGGGTACGTCTGCCCTTAATTCATATTCGAATAGAGATCATAAAATTAAACTTACTTTGCGAATGTAGTTTACAAGAGAAATGTAACCCTGAGTTTGATGTTGATCCTAACACTTTCTCTTCCCTTAATTTGAGTTTGATTAAGTCACCCAACAATACCAATTTGTTTCACCTTCTCACACTACTCCTTCACAAGAACCACAACTCTTCAAATCCTTCACTCGATCGAATCCAAATTGCGAATTGTTGTAACCCAAGGTTTACCAAGATGATCTATTGTTTCACACTACTGCTTTGCAAGAACCACAGCTCTTTAAAGCATTCACTCGATTGAATTCATCTTGAGTAATCTTGTTCAAAACCTTCAAATCCACACTATGATTTTGAAGGAAAACTCCACCTTGATTTTCTTATTTGAAACTCCTTTAAGATCTCAACTCAATTTATAATACCACAAGATAAATTGGATATTATCAACTTGATTCTAGATGACACTCAAATAATAAATGATTATGTATACTTTGCTTTTGTGTATGCATAAAATCAAGGTTAAAGAGAAAGAAGACTCTTAGCATGTTGCAGATTTCGTTTATGATTTTACCAAAAGTATTGAAAAGAAATGATGTATGTATGAAGTATATATATATATATATATATATATATATATATATATATATATATATATATATATATATATATATATATATATATATATATATATATATATATATATATATATATATATATATATATATATATATATATATATATATATATATATATATATGCAATTTTAAAAACAAAAGAATTGAAAAAGTGGTGAATTTTTCTCAAAAGAAATCTAATTAATAAGCAAACAAAATATCTCTAGAGTAGGTTGGTGCATTATAACTAATATTATGTTTTATTTAGAATAACGGTCAATACAAGTAAACTTAACCTTCAATGTCAATTATTTAAATCATGTAATCCCAAAGAAAAACTTTAGATAAAAAGTAAAACAATTTTTTTAGAAGCTTTATCTAAACACAATATAGCGTAATGACAATAGCACTAGCAAAGAAACGACGGTAAATTTCACAACACTTAATTTTCTTTCTTTCTCGCAATAAATAAAAAAGCACAGACAGAAAACTATTTTTCATTAATTAATTATTAATTACAAAAGATATTTACTGAAGCATGTGAAAGAATGGCATATACACCTAATATTTTTACTATAATCACTAAATAAATCGCATGCTATTAAGTTAATATTGATGCATCAAACAGTGCAATGCTTCAAACTTCAGGAGGTTCTTTAGATGAACCCGAGTCTTCGTCATAATTCCAAATATCCTTGAGCTCACCTCTTATACATCCCAATATCACAGCGACTCCTGTCCAAATAATTTGACAACAATTGAACATTAGAGAACCTAAATAATAAGAACCACTGCATATCTAATATAAATCACCTATGGAGGGACACGCCAAACTCAACCCCGACACCGATAATAATATGAAAGAATAAATAAATTAAACCTAATCACAAGGGTCGGTACAGATGTCTGAAAGAGACACGGATACAGACACAACTTTTTTTAAAAGTGTGGTGCTAGATAGTAAAGCACAAAACTAATTACCTAGTGTACATGGAACGAGGTAGAGGAGTGCAGGTTGTCCATGACCATTCATCATATATAACCCCAAATATGTGAAGAAGAGGCCTGAAATAGGAAACATATCCTTAAAGCATATCAACCTTTACAAATAGAGTACAAGTTTAAATAAATGACCAACCAACATGGAAGATTCAGAAATACCATAAACTAGCAATAAATCAATGCTTAACAACTGCAAAAGAAACTTACCAAAGCCATAGCCAATTACCAGCCAAAGAAAATATCCATCAAATACCCCTTTGTTATTAATTTTGTCGTATCTGAGATCATCAAAAGCCATAAGAAATACGTAAATACAAAACATATTGTCCAATGCATATTGGAAAATTTAAAACCAACATTAATATATAAAAAGTTCTTTTATCAAATGAAATCACAATGCTTATGCAAAAATCATCAATCCAAAAGACAAAAAAGGCTAGGAAGTTTACAAATAAAATAATTGATTGTCTTTCTAACTTGATGTTAAATATATGTGATCCATATTGATCCCAAAAAATTGAAGCGTGAGAAACAAATTTTCTCATTGAACAACATTATCCAAAATTTATATTGTTGAAGTTGGGAAATACAAAAAATGTTTGTGGGATTTGTTCAAACCTGAGAAAGAGGGGGCAATGGCTTATAAATTTGGCATTTTAGAACATTGTCATAAAAACTTTTCTCTCAAATCAAATTCTATGTAGCAACGGGTAATTAAGAGCAAGTATGGGATTCAAAAAAAACAAAATGAGGGTAGAAATCACAATGTTGTTAAATGATTTAAGTTGCAAGATTATAGGATTTCACAATTTTACACAAGTCCGGCGATCCAAATCGCATGCTTTGACTTCCATATATCTTGAAGATTTTGGGAGGATTTGTGGATTTGGATCATCTTTCCTTTATTTCATGTCCACACGATTATATAAGGGTGTCACTCATGGGGACACTTAACTCAAGTGGGCAAGTCAACATGTGATGAGGAATAAAATTTTGCAGAGATCCGAGAATCCAGGGGAAATATACTGAGGCTAACTAACTCTAAATGGAAAGACTGTGTGAGATATATGTTATAAGGGAGAATTAGAATGGGTGTGGAAAATTATTGTTTATTGCCTCTGCCTCCTTTGTGAACTCCCTTTCTTTCTGCTCTCTCAAAACCCTTCTTAGCCTATAATTCTCCATGGTACCGGTTACTATTCCTCCTACTACATACACTGACTGGAGACAAGGCAGAGATAAATCACAAATTCATAAACTTTAAAATCAAAAGGAAACATATTTAGCAAACATGAAAAGGCTTGATGCATATCATTGCAAATATGCGTGTTGAAGTTTACTTCATTCAAATATATTAATGTACTTTTTTAAGTTAATACCTACGAGTAAAGGAAACAAGCAAACCAGGAAACAGAATATCTCCAAATCCGATCATATCATAGCCACCCCAAGGATCAGAAGGACGGGGAAATCTCAAAAGCATAGGAATTGCTTCACCGCCTGCCTTGTCACCACGAGCAACCTAGAAAAGAAAACGTATAACTATAAGACACCGGTTTTCTTTGGTGTAACAATTAGAGAGAGGATACACTGTGAACATTTAGAAAGAAATATAAAAAAGTTCAGTTCTGCCTTGAGAATGGAAAAAAAAACAATAAAAAGATAAATATAAAATAAAATAGCTAAGAAATGACTGGAAAAAAAAGATGCGTTGGAGTATATAATTTGAGAATTTATAAAAGAGATTCAAAATGGAAAGAAAAAAATCAAGTAAAAGAACTATAGACATGAAAAATAAGACTTACAGTAATCATAACACTCTTCTGGAATATCACTGGGGATATGAATACCCAAAAAATGTCATATACAAATGCACAACAAAGTAGTACAGTAGCAACCTAGGATATCAGATGCATAAGAAAATGATCAGAAATGTTATGACTAATGTCAGAAAATAATGAGTAAGGAATCAAAATTATAAACACAAGGATCCCAATCAATTACCTTGATATTAGGCAAGCGAGCCAATTGCAATACTGTTATCATTAAACCGATACCCTGTAAAGAATAAAGGTGTATTTCAAGTGAATTGCATCAAATCAAATAAAAAGGTTGAATAAAAAGCCCATTGCCTGTGAATGTTAACAATCATTATTGAGACAACAAGCCATTTTTCAGTGCACTGTTGCAGAAAGCTTGTTAAAGAATCAAACATAACAATACTGTCATTGACATTACACAATCGTAAGAATTAAGTTGGAAAAAATTACATGCATATGTATGTGCTAGTGCATGTGTATGTTTGTAGGTAGATAAGAGGGTGCAATGTATGGAAAGATATTTCTAAGGAAATACGAATTCTTCAACAAATGTAGACCTAAGACTAGAAACCGTGCAACTTCTGCTTTTGTTTCTGAAACCATTTTCCTGGGTTTGTCTCGGTTCTTCTTTTCTTCAATTAGAGTCGTTCAGTAATATGTTTAAATAAAAAGGAATGAATCTCATATAATAATCATTATGAACAATATGTTCCAAAGTTTGTCTCTCTGCCTTAAAGTTTTAATACAGAAACTACAATGCTAATAGAAATTGTGGTGGTACGAGAAGTTGACACTTACAAGAACATCTTGGCCAAACCATGAAAATGATTCTCGTCGAGTAATAGCCCATATTACCGCAAATGCCGTACAAAATAGTAGCACTGCTAGTGAGAAAAAAGATGTCTTCCCAAACAAAGGTACATTCACAGTCTTCTCTCCATAATTGGGATGTTTCCTGTTCATATGTTTGAAAAATAAATGAAAAATTAACAAACACATAATATGCATAAAGAATAGTAATTTTAATTTTTATGAGAAGAAATAAGACATCTATTATACTTTAAAGTGAGGCTTACAATACAATTATGCATCCCCTGAAAATTAAAAAAAAATATATATATATTAATTAGTGTAAAGAGGAGTTAAGCAATTAAGAAAAATTCAAACCCTCTAATATATTTTTGATAGTAAAAATAAACTATTAAAAAAAGAGGAAGAATAAAGACACGGACAGACAAAATATGCTCGATAGAGAAAACTCAATACAACAATAAACCGACTCGAGAACATAGTGAAGTTTCACATTCTCTTATATGTGAAACAATAGTTCCCTTGAATCTAGCATGAATAAAAAACAAGCATGGTCCATTGCCTGCTTAAAAGCATGGTTGATCGCCAATGGTCGTGTGCAAACATGTGGAAGAGAAGAATCCAATACCTTATCACTTCTTATTAACCTTGAATGCCACTCACCACTGTCCTTCTCATCAATTAGAGATGAAAAATATTTGTGTACAGTGATTTACTATTGTATATGGAATCATTGCCTAGCTGTGTTGTTGAAGGAGAGTTTAGGTGGTTAACTTGTTGGACTGGACATTTATATGAACTACTTTCCACCTAATTGGACTAAACATTTATATTCTTTGTTCAAAAGTTTAATTGGTGGGGGGGTAGTTGTCGTATGCCATCCCATCTCCATCTGCAGTCTAGTCTAGATGGTTATTTTGGTTGTGTATATTAATGACAGTGATGGCAGGGGTAACTATTTGTGCTCCTAAAGTTTAAAGCTCCAAGCACAGCTGCTCAAACATACACTAATGGTTATGAAATCCAACAAAACTAATATAGTATAATCAGAATGCTGTAACAATGAATGTTTATTGAGTTATAACACTTATAGTCTTTATTGTTACAGTGTTTTGATCATAGATGTAAATAGGGAACCGATACCTTGAGCAAACCATGAAATACATACACATGTACATACAGATGCATATATATAAGGTAGGACAGTTAGGAATAAAATCAATGAAAATGAGCTACCTTACCTCAATACCACCAATACAAAAAAGAAAAATCAGCACGTAGATAAACCAAGATGACATGAAGAAGAACAGTAGCACGAGAAACGTAGAAGCTGTAATGACAAAAATGACAGCCCCCCTTGCATCTATGTTAACAATATCATTTTCAGAATCACCGGCCCCTTTTTCAGCAGTGGAAGATCCCTAGCAAAAGAAAAGAAACATACATGTCTAAACTAATTTGCTTGAAGATGTATTAGTATAAGAACTAAAGTAAACTTGTAATCATTAAACAAGATGAATGTAGATGAGAAGAAGACTTGCTTGGTGAACCGTAGCTCCAGTCTAAATTCTAAATTCTAATAGTTAACAGATTGCAATGATCTGTGTCTATTCATACAGAAGGCAGTTAAAGATAAAAGGAAATGCATAGTAGCATTCACGCTAATGTCCGTTGGAGATTACAAATTCTCCATTTAACTATTGTTAAAATATTCGTTGAATTAATGAAAGTGTGCCTTTATATAAGGATATATTAATAATTATATAGTCATTCCTTAATATAATTAAGAAAACATCACAAACTAATACAAATAGATATAAGGTTGCATGGAAAAACCTTAGGAGAAAAATCATTTTCATCAGCCTGATCAGTAGCAGTGAAGTCTGCCCATAATGCGGCGCATATAACTGTTCCAACAGACATCAACCACAAACATCCAACAGAGAAATCTATAACTGGACGAACGGGTGCATATAGTAGAACTTCCACTGCAACGGACAACTCAAAATTAACCATCTAGAAATCTTTTGGGAATAGACATCTAATAGAAATATATATTATTTTTCTTCATAAAACATGTGATTTCTTCCTTTTAACTTTCAAAGAACTTAAGAGAATGTATGGGAGCATGCAGGGACGGATCTAGGGGAGGGCAACCATGTCTCCGTTACCTATCTAAAGGATGCATACAATATAAAAATAAAAATAAAAAACTTGATGATCCCCTTTTCCTATATACAAGAACATTCTCCTCATTCTTCATCACAAATAAATTTTAGACATCCAAATAATATACTCAATACAAGACATTTGCGTCCGCATAGCTTCTTCATTTAACCATGGGATCCCTCCTATATAGTTCTTATCATGGTTGAAAGAGTTATACATTGAGACAACATAATAGATAAATAAATGCAAATCTCTTTCTGAAACAATATAGAAATCCAAATATAAGTTTTAGAAATTGAAATCCTGACCTTTCTTTCCAGACGACAAAGAATTCTTGAGATTTTCCGCCAATGACGCTGTTACTTCCACTACTGGGATTGAAATGTCTATCTTTTCCATGGTAGCACTAGGGCAGTTCATCTCAACGAGCTCTGAGTGAAAATAAACAGATAGGTTTCAGACAAATACAATAATGTAAAACCTACTTGGCACAAAACGAAGTAAACATTTAAAAGAACATAACAGGTCAAATAGAAGTAGTGCTAATGCATTTAGTGCCTCACTGATTGGTATCTGTTAAAATTAACTCGAACTAGTTAGCACGAGAATTAATTTGGATGACAATGTCAATAGATAGTGTTTGTTATTGTTACCGAGATAGACAGTTTAACAAACATGCATGAAGGAATACATTTGAGTGAAAAGAATTGCATGAGTGTGGCATATGGATGGGATAGTTACGCTCATTTATCATCAAGACGCCCTTAGCGCCCCCTGATTGTGCAATCGTAGCTTTAGTTGTGTAATCACAAGTACCGCGGACACAAACAGCAACTGATCCAGATACCTGCAATACAAAAAGCACGCTGATGAGAAAACCTTATATATAATGATGCTACAAAATGAAATAAAATAGGTTTGTGAAAGGTACCTTTGCAGTTGAAAGGGAACAACAATCAGCGGGAACAGAAGAAACAAGAGGAGTTCTGATAGATTGAGCAGCATCTTCAGGCAATAAAGAGCCGAATCTCGCGGTCATACCATTAACCATTTCACCTTCTTTGCCATCAATCCAATTCTTCACCTTAATCTACAACAATTGAATTCAAATTTCAAATTTCAAAATTTGAAATGCATGATTGGTGAAATAAGAGCGAAATGAAAAGTAAATTACCAATTGCGTTTCGTGATTGCAGGAGGCATTGTTGTCAACGGCATTTGCAGCTGCGAAGAAGGAGAGAATGAGAATCGCCGCCGGCGGGAAGGGGGAAGAACGGGAAAAGCACGGCATTATGGAATCCAATTCCTGCGAGTAGATAGAGAGAGAAAATGATTTGGATTGGTGTTAAGTAAATTGTGTTGTTTCCCTCTCTCTTCCGAAATGGAATGATTTGGAGATAGATAGATAAAGAGAGAGATTGATGCCATTTGTTTGCTTTGCTTCCTCTCATAGCAAAAACGGCAACTTCTATAAACCAATAACAAAATCTCACTTCATTATTGGATTCTATTTTTCTATTTTAAATTAAGCTATAACATTTAGTGTTCTTCTTAGAGCCACCATCAATAATTATTTAACATCAACTTATGGTTATAGTTTATAAATTAAACTATTTTTTTACAAAAATTAATTAAAAATTTATAATTGGTTTAAAATTGATTTTAAATAGATTTTAATTTAAATTTAAATTAGTTAATTAAATTTAAATTTTTTCTATAAATTAATATCAATTTTTAAATTTAAATAATTAAACAAATATTATAAGATTTAAAAAAAAAATTAAAATTTTAAAAAACGATTTTCTGTCCCTGTATAAGTAAAATATACATTTCATTCTCTATTTAATTTAAGTTTGATGCACTATAAAATTGGCCGATAATAATGATTGAATTTATCATTATATTTATCTTTTTGGAAATTGAAATTTTAAATTTTTTTTCTTCTTCTTTTTCTCTCACTAAAATGTATACTCAAATACTTAAAGGGATCTAAACTCAAGAAATTTGTACAATTTGCTTAATTAAGTATTAATTGTCCAACTTTGTATTTCGTTGGTGCTTAACAAAAAGTTAATAACGTTAAATATGTAATTCATTGTTTTAAAAAGATTTCGTTTGATTTAAAAATATTAGATTAAATATTTTTGGGTTTTTGTAGTTTGAGTTTTAGCTTGAGATGCAAGTTAACTTAAATCTATAAATAGAGAGAAACATTTATCATTGTAATCATCAAGTTTGATAATCACGGTTTTGCAGTTGCAAAGTGATAATAAAATTCTACAGTTGTGGGCAGAAAATTACTCTACAGTTCATACTCATCTTCTTTAAACATGTTCTTGTTTTCTGTTCATTGTACACAATATCTCATATCTCATGTCATCATATAATTAATCAAAATCGCGATAATATCATCATAATACATCATATAAGGAGAGACGAACGTCCCCGAGACCCCGGGAGAAATGGGGGCCAGCAGGCCACTACATCGAGTACACGCTGCTCACAACTCCCCATGAGTGAATCATGGCCGAGTGCATCAACTAGAAGTTCCAAAGGGGTCGTGTCCGCTTTCCGAAGCCAACGCCTCCCAAGCCCAACATTGACAAGTCCAAATATTGTCGGTTCTATATGAGCCATGGCCACGTCACAGAAGATTGAATCCATTTCAAGGATGCCATCAAAATCTTAATCAAGGAAGGGCACTTGAATAAATATACTAGGAGTAACGAAGCTCCTCGACAGGAGGCACGTGAGGAAAAGAAGGTTGAGGAGGTAACACCTTCCTCCGGAGACACTGGACTGCATGTCGCTATGTCTGTCTCACAGTCAAAGGACTTCTACTTCCCATTCGAGGACGACACACTGGTATCCTCTCGTAGCCCGTAGGAAAGCTTCCCCGCCACCATGATCATATTCGGCGGAGGATTCAACAAGCTCTTTGTGGGGTCAGTGAAGCGGAAATTTGATGAGATAATCGAGAAAAGCTCCACGTAGATGGCCACCTTCGACAAGGTCCAGGGGGTCGAACCCCATCACCTTCTACTTCAAGGAGCTTCTAGATGACGCCCCCAATTCTATCATCCCTCTTCTTATTAGGGCCTAGATGGCGAATTTCGACGCCCGTTGCATCCTAGTTGATCAGGGAAGCTTAGTGGACATCATGTATACTCAATTGTTTATCATTCTTCAGCTCGACGAGACACATCTGACTCTGTATGTCGGCTCCAATTTACATGGTTTCAATGGCACCACAACCAGGTCGTGGGGATATGTCGAGCAGATGGTCACCTTCTGGAACGATGAGACCGCCAAGAAGGTCAAGTTTGTTTCTTGGTGATTGAATGTCATTCTCTGTACCAGTGCATTCTGGGAAGGCCAACTGTAGCGGAGCTGACGGTCGTGCCATCCACGGTCCACCTCAAGATGAAGTGTTACACACTCAGAGGCCGCATAGTCACCCTACACAGAGACATTGAAGTCACCAGAAGGTGTTTTGAGGTGTCCACCAAAAGACTTAGCTTGATTAACATCAATACCAAGACTGCCAGCAAGCCATCCCCAAACGAGGAGTAGAAGCCATTGTCGCGCGTCAACACGGTCGACCTCGATAACGCTTCTCCAACAAGCAGGAGTAGAATGAAGCAGCTGACCATGTCCCTCCAGCAGATGGCGACGACGGGCAAACTCTTCACCCTATGCGCCCCATCCCAGATGGTGGCTTCGAGCTCATCACGCTCAGCGACGACCCTAGACAGGATCATGAAGATCGACACGTGACTCCCCGACTTGGCGAGGAAGCGGCTGAAAGCCTACCTCAGGGAGAACGCTGACCTCTTTGCGTGGAGCGCATCGGAGATGCCTGGGCTCGACCTCGACGTGGTCTGCCACCAACTCACCATAGATCCAGCCATTAGGGTGTCATACCCCAAATTTGTCCTACCTTTTTCAAAGTTTCATTTGTCTGACTTTATTTTCATTTTGCATCTCCTGCAGAGCATAACTTGTTTCTCAGCATGAATAATTCCTAAAATGATTAGACATAATGAATTTCTTCGATATATAGACAAATTGGTCGAATTATGTCTCAAATACACGAGAAAAATTAGTGATTGAAAACTTTCAAATTTAAGCTTGCAAACGTCAGTGATTTTGACCTATTTTCCATAAAGCTTGACCTAGCGCGCTCGCCTTATCTCTCGACAAAATTTCAGTCATTTTTTGATCAGTATAAGCCTTTTTATCGGTCCCAGTCAATTTTCATTTGATTGGGCGCTATTTGTTTCCGAATCGTTTATTACGCGCTAATCTTTTGTGCGCAATCGGTTTATTTTTAGGGCACTTTGTCCCCCGAATTTTGTTCATTTTCATCCTTTTTTAAATATTTTTATCAAAATGTCCGGAATAATTAATTAGAATTTTTCATGCTTGCGTTTTATTTTTATCAATTTTATTTAATAAGTGGTGAATTTTTAGTGAATTTTAATTGATTTTAATTTTATTAAATTAATTAAAGCTTCTAGAAATGGCAATTTTGCCATTTTAAATTAAATGTGTTTCTTTGATTAAATATGAATCGTTACATTTAAATTTAATCAAGGGTGCACACGCATTATCCTCATTTTTTCTCATTAGTCAATTGTAATTTAGCATTTTATTTTATTTTGATTTAATTAATAAAAAAATCAGAAAAAAATATAAACATTTTTATTCATATTATTAAGGCACGTGTCCATTTCCAAGTGGTTGAATTTAAGAATTTGTGTCACCACTTAAGATGACACATGTCATTTTGTTTATAACTAGTAGAAGACTCGTGCGTCCGCACGGGTAAATCCATTCATATCTTAGATCTTTTGATAAGGATTAATTATTGCTGATATATAATTGTCATTATAAAATTATTAATAACTACAAATATTTAAAAATAAAGATATAGAAAATTACCAACATGATAGATTCAATATGTCTAATAACTAAAATATTTACAAATATCACTAATAACTATAAATATTTAGAAATATTTTATTGATTAAAAAAAAGATATTGTGGTGTAAAATTAAAAAAGGTATATATAAAAGCATGTAACCTAAAAGATTGAATTCAATTTCAATTTTTTACTTTATGAGGTAGCATGTTTTATAGCATTATCATACTCGTTTTGAACATTTTGGTGTAAAATTAGAAATACATTAGATACATTTATTGTTATCATTTTCCAAAAGCCAAGAAATCAGATTAGACAGTACAAAACAAAATATGTTATATGATTTTTTTTCTATCTCTTTCCATAAAGTGGACATGCTTTTTGTACTGTAATTGCTAAAAACCAGACATTGCTAAAAGTATACATTTAAAATTTGTGAGTGAGTTGGATTACACCAAATTTTATGATGACTTGACATATTAAAAATAATGAATACATGTTGGTACTAATAAAGATCTAAAATCATGTTAGAGTTTTATACGTAAGAGAATAATAATTAACATTCATATATATTAGAGTTTCTCAATGTTTTGATATTCATGAAATGCTTCAAGTATCATATTGTTCTCAAGAGGTAATCCAACACAACTCTCATAATATTTTCCAAGATAGCCCTCTACTTTGACAACACATTCACTACTGGTGTACTTATGGGAGAGTATGAGCCTTAGTGAGGTAATTGAAGATGGTTGCAAATGAATAAAATGAGTGAAATTTGTCATGTAAATAAATCAAAAAACCAATACATTTAGCTCATTTTTTGACAATTGAATAAACAAAATAGTTTAAGGAACAGATAATGACCCCGTGTTCGGATTTCTGATGAATTCAACACCTAAGCTCAACAAGAAGAACCAAATCTAAGATAACAAAGACAACAAAACCAAAACCACGAGCACGCCCTGTTGCGTGATCTCGCATGATCACAACCTCAATCACCTTCCTATATGTGGCAAAATACTCCCTGAGACGTTCCTCATATGTGTCCCAAGATATTCCTCCAATGAAGAGCTTGCCGAGATAGATTCCATCTGTTCAATTACCAATCACAAACACTCACTTTAAACCATGTCCATCATTGACATATCAAAGCGCACTGGCGAACTTTGATATTGATCAAACTTTCAAATTTGGACAAAATATCATCATAATCAATTGAAGAAAGAATATGTATCTCTATGCCTACATTGAATTCACTCTAGTGTCTATTTGAAACAAAAACATACCTTGTGAATTCATGTGCTGATCTCTTGTCCCCTGAAATAAGAGACTCAAATGTGTTCTTCTAACGAGCTATTTATAGACCC